CTTAGTGAACAAAACAGATGGGTTTAATCCATAAAAATGAAAAGCTTTTCCCATTGCAACTCCATTTCCTGCCTCTCCAGGTAAAACAAAACTTTCCCTGAGGAAATGATGTAAATGTACTCAAACATTCTTAAAAGACTTTACAGAACACAAAATATTGCTATGAACTGAACCATGTTTCTTTTCATTTACATTTAAAAAGAAATATGAATGGGGTAGTGGAAAAAATATAGAGGTAAGTTTGGAAATGCTTTCCAGTCCCTGCTTCATTGTGCTCTCCTTCCCGAAGCTTCAGTTGCCTTGTCTGTAAAATGGGATTGATAAAAATACACACCTTATCTATCTTACAGAATCATTGTGAGGAAACTAAATAATACCTATAAGAACACTTGGAATACTACAAAAGGATGATACAAATGTAGACTGTTATTATTGCTACAAGGTCCCCTATACCATATTTCCTCAACAGTTTCAGTTCCTGCCCTTCTTCTTAGTGCCTGGCAAGCTGCACACGATTCATTTCCTTTAGCACAGACACAGCAATCTTCTGTTATTACAGGTGAAAGGAGGTTGGAGGCTACCGATTTTGGAGTAGACAACAGTGGTCTTGTTCCAACAAACCTTCTGGGGAAATCCACAGGACACTCAACCCTCATCTTGCCCCACAATCTTTTCAAGACAGATAAAAAGTGAGTCAAGGCCCCTGTGAAAACTGTAATTTCATTGCCAGTATGGGTTTAAACTTTAACAGTTTTGGTATCCATTTGTAAGATGTCATTTCTGTTGGTTCCATCCTAGTGGCTTAAACAACAGAAAAAAACACAGCCACCTCCCTCAATGAAATGTAAAAGTCTACAGTTTCTCTATAATATATGTGCACTCAAGCCATACTAATATATTCTACAATTACTTTTATTTTTTTAGCATTTTTATTTGGCTCTTAAGCTGCATAATTAATGGTGTTTACATGGAAAGGTTGTTTATGTAAATGGCCTAAGTGGATTACTGAGCAAGCCTTAAAACAAACATTTTTCTCCTTTTAAAATTTTCTTCACTCTCCTCTGAATGTCTGGCACAACAGTAGAGTTTTTTAAATGTCAAAGGGGACATAGAAAGCAGACTTCTGAGGTCCATTCTCCCCTGGTGAGACGGGCTTATAATTCTGCTTCCTGTAATGGTTGGCCTGGGGGGAGTCAAGAGTGACCCCACTGACCCAACACATCCCACACTCAGAAGCCTGTCTTTTTTTTGGGAGATTGCCACTGTTTTTTCTCTATAACCTTAAACATAACACAATATCTGGCCCTTACAGATCATTTCCTGCAGAGTTGCAGTGCTGGGGATGAGAGATTCATGAGATAAACAAATATGCTCACTGTAAAGACCAGAAAAACACCAGGAAAGAAAACCCACCAGGTTTCTGAATACCTCTACCACAAGGATTACATCGCCCAATTGTGACAATTACTGAGATTGTCCCTCCAAGTCAAAGTTCAGATCGCACGTTCTTTGAGTGACAGTACAGAGTTAGTTTACTGTAAAATAGACATGGCATGACAGTCACTACCTGCCTAGACATACATTATTCTTCTAAGCCATTCCGTAGGGGTTGCAGAGACATCAAAGGCTGTTCCTTTACTCCTGTCCTCGCAGAGGCAAAGCCAAGAGGGCAGGAGTGAAGATGCCTCCCTCCACACCCACAAGTCCAGCCCTTCAGAAGCCTCAGGAGGGAAGCCTGGCTCCAGGTCATCTCCGGAATAACAGATCATGTGTCTTCTACAGTAGCCTCACAGTTATCTCTAGAGTTGCAGGCCAGACTGTAGTAGCAAGCTTTCTCTAGAGCAGGCTTCGGCCTCGGAGCTAACCATTGAAGAACTCAATGCAGGTGAGTTCTGAACTAACATTCTAGAACACAGAGATCCCTGCACCACCAGTCCTACTCAGACTGACAAGGCAGAACATAGAATTGGAGTCCAGACCTAGAGCACAAGATGCAGGCCAAACACTGACAGGCATGTTTTGAACGAAAAAAATTGTACAAGACTCAATGCTATCTTAAGACCTTTATAGCCTCTAAACACTCATACTTTCATATCACTTGAAATATATTATGGCCAGGTGCAGTGGCTCAGCCTGTAATCCCAGCACTTTGTCAGGCCGAGACGAGAGGATTGCCTGAGGCTGTGGGTTCAAGACCAAAACTTGGGGAGACCTAATCTTTACAATAAATCACAAAAAACTAGCCGGGGTGATGGCATGTGTCTGTAGATTCAGCTACTTGGAAGGCTGAGGCGGAAGAATTGCCTAAGCCCAGCAGGCAGAGGTGGCGGTGGCCGTGAGCATGCTGCTGCACTCCAGCCTGGGCGACGAGTGAGACTCCTACTCCAAAAAAAAAAGAAAAGAAAAGAAAAGAAATATATTAAAAGGTGTATACATACCACGTTTAATAATTTTGCGGGCATCCCTCTCAGGTCCCCTCCCACTGTGGGAGTTTTTCTGTTCTTTCAATAAATCCTGCTTTCTAAAAAAAAAATAGTTTTGTTATACAAGAATTTTTATAATTTTTCTTTTAAAATTATTTAGATAAACTAACTTAAAATATGCTATTATTTCTTAACACTCATCACATATTCGGAAATCTCACTCAGTGGAAGCATCTTATCTAAAAACTGCTTTTCAATGTAATAAAGTTGTTATCGATGCTAAATCCAGCCATTAATGAAGTTGACACCATGTTCGATTCTATGACCAGCTAATAAATGTTTATTAATTTTTCTCTAGCTGTCCATATTTTATTTTGAAGAAAACCATTTTTCCCAGTCAGGCTCCAGACACTCGCAAGCAAAGCTCCTATGCACAGAACTGTGAGTCCTGGATCTAGAGGCTCAACTGGTCCTCTGGGCTCGTGACAGTCAACCAGGCACCCCCAAAGTGACTTGGCACCAACTACGGTGAGTTCTCAGGGATTCCCAGACATTTCACAGGACTCTGCTCAACCAAAACAATAATGTGGAGTCTCCAAATCTTGTGCCATCACTTAACAACCCCCCAAAATTCTTACTAATTAAACTCAAGTTCTGAAAATTTGCAAACTTTTGACTCCTTAGAGAAATTTACCCATGGCCAATGCTAAAAGCCTTCATTGTTTGCCTTAGCAAATTCATTCTTTTCCTTCAGTAGGCGAAATCAGGTTTCATAAATCCATTTTATTTTATGAAGCTTTGTTTTCCAACAAGAAATGAGATTTGGAAGTGGCTCTGGACTTACATTTCCAGGAAGCTTTTCTCAGTTCACAAAATGAAAGTTATGCATACTCCACCAATGTGTTTATCACTAGACCCAAGCAGAATTACTCTGTAAAGATATTCTATCAGCAACTGGTAGGTGGAGTGCATTTTATCAATTAGCTTTTACTTTTTCAGAAAAAAAATAGATCTCATCAGAGTGTGTCAACGCAGAAATAACCATAGGGAGCCTGTCGACAATCACAAAATACCCTTTTAGCTATCAGCAAATGCTAAAGTGATAAAGTAAGAACTTTGGCATTCTTTCTAAATGTGTCCTCTAGCAATATCACATAATCAGTGTGGTTTGTTTAAAGAATTTATTCCTGATCTTTAAAAAAAAATCTCTTTGAATGTGTACTTAGAATGCATTTGGTAAGCTCGTGAATACGGCATCAGACAGTAAGAGATAGAATTCTAACTCTGCCCCTTCCTAGCTGTGAGAACTTGGGCAAGTTATGAAGCCTCCATTTCTTCATCTGTAAAATGGTACCAAAAATACTTAAAAGGATTGTTCTCAGGATTAAACAGACTTATGAGTGGATAAAGCTTTTGTTGAGCAATCAATAAATGCTAGCTTTGAGTATTACTATAATTATTATCCATCATTTTCTCACTATTTGCAAGACCACGACTCAAGCCAACATACCTGGAACCAGGACTACTTAGTAGTCTCCTGACTTCCTGTTTTTTCTGCCCTTGTCTATCCTAAATTCCTCTCATTTCCTTTCCACAGTTGAGGGATCCTTTCAAAAAGGAAAAGCAATCTGTTCGACCTCCTTTTCACATACAAAGGGTAACGTGGAAATTTCTCTAGCTACCCTTATCACAAGCCCCAAAGGCCCGGCATGGCACGGCTCCGGCTTCCTCTCCCTCCTGGTTCCACCTCGGGTCCCCATTCTCTCTACGCAGCAGCCTTACTAGTTGGTCTTCAGTGCATGGTCCATACCGCGCTGCCTCCAGCCCTCCCTTAGCCGGGAGAGCTCTGTTCCCTGTCCCATGCCCTTCGTATTCCAGCCCCAAAGCTACCTCTTCAACTACATCAACTCATCTTTCCATAGGTTCATATTTCTTCCCTTTAAAGCACTTAGCTGAATAAATGCCTTATATTAGTAAAGGATAATTTCCTAATATTTGCCTTCCCTACACAATTTTAAGTTTGGGGCGGATAGACTGCCGGTTTTGCTTATCGTGCTCCCATAACCTAGTTCAGCCAGGGCCCAGAGGAGGCGGACAATAAACAATAAACTAACAAATGAATGAATGCATGCTGAGAAGATAAAAATGGCCTGGACAGCACCGTCTCAAAAAGTCTCCCGCGCCTGAGGCTCGTCATTAAATGGTTCCCAAAACGCGGGATCACTTTTCTGTGGCTTAAGAAAAAAGTCTTCCTTTTTGTGTCACTCTTTTCACACGGTTTGGTATAGGCACAGCCACCCTTGAGAGCAGCAATGGAATATGATCTGAGCTGAGGAAAATCAGCCACAGGCAGCCCACTGACAGCGAAGGGCGCAAGTGTCGGGCGCCAGGCGGGCGCGGGGCGGAAGTGCGGGGCGTGGGATGGGCTCCGGGCGGAAGTGCGGGGTTCGGGGCGGAAGCGGCGACGCTGGCAACGCGAGGCTCAGGTGCATCCTGTGGCCCCGCGCCGAGGGCGGGCGCTGGCGGCTCCCGGTCAAGGGTAACTTGTCAGCCCTTCGCTGTGGCTCACGCTGCCAATTAGAGGGAATTTAATTAAATCGGGAGCCATACATCCATAAAGCACCGGGGAGATTACAAACGCCTGTGAGTGTGTGCGTGGTGGCGCTCTGGGAAGTAAATAAAAGACGGAAGGGAAAAGGACGCTTTTTGAAGAAAAAAACATGCTTCATGCTTCTTTCAGTGATTCACAGATGCCTCGTCCCAGGTTTAACTGAATTTTTGAAGTGGTAATATAATTACCCTTGGCAGTCCACTAACTTTTTAAGTAAATATTTTTGAGCAGCCATGTTGACCTTTATTTGGGGTGAAAAGGTTGGAAGGTGCAGCAGGGAACACTGTGAGTACCCGGAGTCTCTGGACCAGCTGCCTGGGCCTCCTCTCCACTTTATTGGGCAAAAGGAGCCTTCTGGGTACTGGACAGTGAGAGAATAAAATGGAGACTGTACAGCCTCAACAAATAGTTAGCCTTGTCAGTCACTCCTGACATATCAACTCATACAATTTTTTAATAAGTCCATGGGTAGAAAAATCTCCCTAAATTGTCATTGAATTGAATAGGCATGTGACTGTTTCTAAGGTTGTCTTTATCAAAGACTTTTACCTAGGTGATCTTTATTCTTTTTTTTTAGTAGCCAGTGTTTATATACTACTTTATATTGTAGAGTCCTTTGAAAAAAAACCTGCAGTGTGGCCTAGCTTGCCCCAAGATTCTTAGTTCCTCAAGGACAGCAGTAGTGTCTAGGATCTGTTATACCCTGACACTTTATAGCATATTTCCCAGCATTAGTGAGGCTCCTATAACTACACGTTGCCCTGGTTAAGCAGCCGCTACAGCTGTGTCTCTTTGTGCCTGACACTGAGCAAGGTTCCTATTAGAGGCCACAGTTGTCTTTTAGTAAATATTCTGAGAAATAGCTTACAAAAATGCATATGAAGCTCTCTACCACTGTTTGGAGCTGTATACCTTGAGGTACTTTATAGGTTAATAACAGAGATTTAAAACTTTTGGGGGGAAAAGTGTACCCTGGAAATACAGAGTGCTTATAGTAATATTGGGGCAAAGCAGAACTAATCATGATTCCGTGTGAAATGTCACAGCCCAGTAACCTGGGTCTTGCTATGCTGAGGAATTGCCTGGAACCAGAAAGGCCCTGTTAATGAAAATTAAGATTGGTGGGACTGGTGCTTTAGACAGGCAGAATCCCCAGATTTTCTTTCTTCCCTACTTGCTGTGGTCAGTAGTAGCCACCTGCCAGGAAAGGATCAATATATATGTCTATATTTTTGGTCTCTTTTATAAGAGGACTGTGTGGCTGTGTGGTTTTATTTAGATGGATTCTTGGCAAGTAAGTAAGAGAAATGAGGATTTTCTTTTTCCAATTTGGGAATTTATTGGACTGTGTTTCTATTTTGTTCGAGATACCTGGCTCCCAAATACTCAGAGGCACTGTGAGAGATGTCTTTAAAATGTTACTTTTTATTGTTAAAGTTTTTATATTTCATAACTTGTGTATATTCTAGCTGGCATATGCATTCAGTTACTCTAATGCTAGGACCTGGGGTTTCAAACATAGCAGGACCTTGAGGTGATCTGGTACAAGCAGTGAGGTTTTTTTATGTTCCCTATTTTAAATCTAATTTTTGCCACTATTTTATTCAAGGAGTGTACATCGGAGAAGGCCAAAAGCCAGCTGGACTAGTTCCTGAATGCAGTTTTAATCTTGTTTGCAATTATTTCGAAGGAGAAAAACCATCTGGATCAGGTATGTGTAGCTATACAGATAGCAGGCAGTAGATGAGCTTCCTTCATCCTTCTCCTAGTATTGCATAGTAAGTTCTAGGAACGAAATAATTTGGGAATATGCAAAATGAAAAGATTTGGCTAAGTTTAGCATAGATATGATTCTACATCCCTAATTCCCCATCCCAGTATAGTCACAGGGATGGACGGGGATGGAGAGTAATGAAAACATTATTCTCTTTTTATTCCAATCATTTCCAGAGTTAAAGTTTCTAGAAATGAAAGGAAAACTCAAAGTAGCTATTTTTAGAAAATATCCATCTCCAAGGATATCAGACCATTTCACCAGTAATATCTAGTAACAGACTTCTTACGGTCATAGCCTCCATTGCTGTGGTATTGTGTTACTTGTTTGTCAGTCTTTCTCCTGACCAAGGTGTGAGTTCCTTCGGGGCAGGGACAATATCTTAATCGCTTTTATATTCCTGGTTCGTGACACAGTGCCTGGCACATTGCAAATGCTCCGTACATGCTATAGGAATTAAAAGACATCCCCTGAAGGGAAACTGAATCTATAAGGAGCATAAGAACATCATTGAGAATGCAAGAAGATAGAGAAAAAATATATAAAACAATAACCTCGTTTCATGGGGTTACTAGATGCAGTTAAAAGTAATGCTTTACTAAACAGCTCGGAGCAGGGAAGGGTGTATTTGAGAATCCATTACATGGTCATCAAACTGCCTTCCAAGGAGATCTGGCCTAGTCAGTTCCTGGGCCTTTGTCATGTTGAGTGCAATACATAAGCTAAAAGATTCCACCAGCGCTGTCCTCACATTTCCTTCAGGCCTGCGGTGTTCAGCTCCTCACCCAAACACCTGTTCAGCAAATATTTGAAGAATATCCATTTGAAGGTGCAGCACATTATTAGGTTCCTGAGGGCACCAGTATCTTGGTTTGGTCCTGTCTTAAGGCTAGAGGACCTAAATGTGGTCACTATTTTAAGTCTAGGTTACCCAAATAGTATTGAAGGAAATCCACACTTGTCTTTTCTACTTTACTAATAACATTCCAAAGGAGTTCAAAGTTGACAGCTCTTTTGTGTTGTATCAGGACAGTCATGTGGTATATACAGCTTTCTTCTGTTGCCAATGGGATTGCAGCAGAAATCAGATTGTTACAACTGGAAACAAGTGAATTTCCTCTCATTGTTTCAGTACTTTTTTATATTAATCATAAAATAGTGGGGAAATGATTTTGAGTTTAGTCAGGAGGGAAGGACATGACATTGAATTATTTGATTTTTTTTAGCCCTTTTTTTCCTTTTTTTTTGAGTTAGAGTCTTACTCTGTTTCTCAGGCTGGAGTTTAGTGGCACCCTCCCAGCCACACAGCCTTGACCTGCTGGGCTCAGGTTATTCTTCCACCTCAGTCTTTCAAGTAGCTGGAATTACAGGCATATGCCATCACACCCAGTTAATTAATGTATTTATTTATTGTGGAGACAAGTCCTCGCCAGTTTGCTCAGGCTGGTTTTGAACCCCTGGGCTTAGGCAATCCTCTAACCTTGGCCTCCCAAAGTGCTGGGATTACAGGTGTAAGCCACCTTGCCCAACCAACCCTTTACTTCTTAAAACATGTAGTCCTTCTACTCAGCCAAGAGAAAGGATACTTTTATTTGATAGAAACTCAGTCAGGTGAGGCAATTTAGGACATAAGTCTGGAAAAAAAAGAGATCTAAATTCAGCTTTTTCTCCAGGTGCAAAATTGAAATTAATATGAATCTTTTTAGATTTAGAGAACAAAACCTCATTCTTATGATAAAATAATTCTGCCATCTAAAGCTAAGACTATCTTCATTTGCTCCAACCTTAAATTAGGACTTATATAAAATATGGTATCTGTTATTTAGTATACTCTAATGATTAATATGTAAAGTTTTTTGAGTTTTGTTTTTTTTTTTGAAGAAAGGAGGCTGAACATGGGGATCCTTTCTGGTTCTCAAATTCTGTGTTGGTCTCATTATAAAAATACAATGGGTTATTCAAGAAGAAAATCTAGATACATCAACAAAAAATGTATTGTGAAAGGTTAGGCATTAGTTCCTAATCCATAAAGCAAGGGAAATCTCCAAAGTGACTTCCCAATTTCAAAAAAAATTTTTTTTAATCTATCAGTGATTGCTGTTAAAAAATAGAATAGAGCCGGGCTCGGTGGCTCAGCCTGTAATCCCGCGCTTTGGGAGGCTGAGGTGAGTGGATTGCCTGAGCCCGCGGGTTCGAAACCTGCCTGGGCAGTGAGACCTCATCTCTACAATAAATCAAAAAATTAGCTGGGCGTGGTAGCGCATGTCTGTAATTCCGGCTACTCAGAAGGCTGAGGCAGAAGGATCACCGGAGCCCAGCAGGTCGAGGTTGCCGGGAGCGGCCACTGCACTCCAGTGGGTGACAGAGTGAGACTCCAACTCAAACAAAAAAAAAATAGGACTCAGAAGATTGTAGAATCTCACAAAACTGAGGGTTGCCAGGGCCTCGTGTCAAGAGTGGATGGTTCCCAACATTTAGATTGAACACTGTACTTCTACAGGCCTAGATCTTCTTGGTATCACAAGTCCAGGGTAATGCTGGCTTTAACAACTCAAATATCCAGAGTCATTTGCTACGACATGGCTAGAAATGAATGAAATACCTTTTAGATTTTGTGTGGGCCTGAGGATAATTTCATCTCTTTGGCAAGAAGAAGTGGAAATGGGTAGAATATTAGTGACAAAGGGAAGACATTGCTTGGGTGGACAGTTTTTGAACTGCAAGCAGTTGCTTTTGGAAATGAGATTGTGTGCTTTTGAAATAGCAAGGAAACTGGCATTACTAGCTGAGCACAATAAGACTAAGATGCTTTAATGAAATTTGCTTCTTTCTGGGTCAGTATTAAGTATCGGAGATATCTTCAAAGGGGAATGGGTCATGTTAGTTAAGAAGGATAATGTGGAAAAGAGTCTGCATAATTCTTTATATATTTTGTTCCCATCCCTTGAACTAGAATGATTTTGCCCTCTTCTTAATACTATCTTTATGGAATGAAGGAATTTTCTAATTGGTTTTTAAACTCTATTAAGCTCTCATGTATGATATCACCCAGCCACATTATTCTGGTTTTCTTGGCTTTCAGAAACAGCTTTGCAGCCATATGTCATAATTGAACTGAACATTGTTGCACACTCTCAATTTGGAATATGCTGCTCTGGCTCTGGGCCAGTTGCTGAGTCAGTATCTTTGGGGTTGAGGATGGAGGGGAGGGGTGCAGTATGTGCAAACCCCATTGGTTAGCAGGAATTTTTCTAGAATTCCCTTTGGACTCCTGGAAGCTAGAAGGGGTGTAGCGTGAGAATACGTCACTGTTCTTCATTAGCACCATCATTTTATTTTTCTTAGCTGATTGTTTTTCTGGAAACTTTTCCTGACATTGTTATGTGCACCAACCCTATTACCAAGTAGACTCCTCTGAAGCAATGATCTGGAAAGGTCTAAAGATGCTAAAACAAACTCTTACCCACACTGAAGACTGCTCTCTCCTTCTACCTCACATTTGACAGCTTGCTACAGCCAAGGCAAAGACAGCAGTGCTTCTGGACATGGAGGAGAATGCCAAGATGAAGAGGATCTTTCATTAAAAATGCATTATTTATTTTCTGGGGGGGGGGCATTTTTTATCTCAGATGCTTAAATAGGTGCAAGATGAGTGCCTTAGTGTCACCTTCCCAATTCTCAACTCAGTCCTTTTTGACACACTGGCTTCCCAGTTATGATTGAGGAATAAGAAAAGAGAGTTTGCAATGAGCAGTGCCTTTACATTTCTGCCTAGACCTGTAAGTGAATTTGGGTCCCCTTTAAAGGACTGAGTGTCCTAGGCTTCTGCAGGTTAAAAACTACTTCAGATTCTTTGCTCAAGGCTTTGTGCAGTTTTAAGCTATTCCCTTGGCATTTGGTTAGCATGCGATTTCCTCTTCTCTTATCAGGAGAATGTTTGAGGCCCAAAGCCACAGGCAGGCATGGTTCCTCTGGGTCTCTAAAATGAGAGAACAGGACAAATGGTAGTATTTCCATTTAACAGTTGATGAAACTGAGGCTTGATGAAACAGGCTTAATGAACTGAGGATTTATTTGCCTAGAGTCTCAGAACTAGTTAGTGACAGTTGCCTTTCTCTTTGGGGTTTATATTTATGAAATCTTTACCTAAAAATGCACTCAGGGAATTTAAACATGCTGAATTCCAACTGCAACTATATATGAAGATTAACTTTAAAGCTTGAAATGAAGAATAATACGATTTATGCTTAATTCCCCTGACTGATTAGTTGGTGGGAGCTGGCTTGATTTAAATTTATTTTGACCTCTCTAGACAATTTATTCAGAACTACTTGGATCAAGTTTTGTCTTTAAAGATTATCGATAAAATGCAACTTTACAATTACCTAGACAGCAGCTTTTTTGACACACATGAATTAAGGATATCTTTGGTAAAATATTAATGGTACTTAATTTTCCCCTCTTTGAGAAATAAAAACAAGTATTGGGAAAGAGCAACAGGAAGAGAATTGGTGTTTGCTTAAAACCTATCATGGGGAAACCTTGATTTCTCAGAAACTAAATTTAAGTGGTTGTTTTACAGTTTTGTGAAGCCTGAGTAAACCAACCCAATACTTGATGCCTGGACTTAATGATATCCTTAGTAGCAGATAAATATGTTGGGTCTTTATTCAGTCATGTCATACTTTAAAAATTCCTAAATAATATTCACAGATGAAATTTTCAGCTTTTTCTATTTGAAATATTCAGTTTTGCAATTCCCTATTTTGGAAACTACTATTACTAGAGATTTAAGTCTTCTTCCATTTTAAGGCCAGTAAAAGCACATTTCAGTCAATAGAATCATTAGTATTAATAATAATATCTTTTCATATTATTTAATAATCAATCATTAAGCCTTCTGTATTCTGCTTTTGATAACTTGTACAAAGATTTTT